ACAACCTATTCAAAGACTGTAAATTTGGAATTTTTGTACATTAGAAGGTACATTCAACTGACAATGCTAGGAAATCCATTTTTACAACTTAACAATTTCTGTCAACGTTTAAAAAATGTTTTCTGCATCCATTTCTTGAGAGACTCATAAAGCTGACTTTTCAGAGTATTTTTGGTTTCTGCTGTTTGTTCATTCTTTAACTATTTTTTGCTTCCATTTCAAGAAAAAAATGTTGGCTATTTTCTCACCTTCTTTGGCTTAGACCGTGATGCTAGATGATTCCAATACAATTAGGTGAGATTTTTATAGGCCCGCAAAGCCTAACATAATAAATGTGGCAGTTCAAATAATAGCAATCATAGCAGGTCAAGCAAAAAAAAAAAAAAAAAATCATTTGAACTGAAATTGACGAATCTTAACATTACCAGAGTCTGGAAATGCAACACTCTTTCCTTATACTCAGTTTTTGAAATTTTTTTTTTTTAGTATTGCATAGGGATATTTTCATTCTGCCTCAACTACTACTGATGCCTTTTAAAATGTTCAATGCATAGATTCTGCTTACCAAGAATGACTCAAATATTACTGAAATATGAATTCTTTTCCTTGATTATTTTTTTCTAGACTCTTTCAAGAATACTTATTTGCCTAATAATTCTTATAAAGTGAGATGTAACAAGTTTCTTTGAAATGCTTTTTTATTTGATTTTAAAAAGTAATGTATTGCAGAAAATTAAATTACAAAAAGGCACAGTGGAATTAGTATTTACCTAATGGAAACTAGCATTGTCCTTTTATTTTGTATCTTTCTAGTCTTTTTTTTTTTTCTGTGACTAGATGTACATGTGTATATGACGTATATGTGACTGGAATAATACTTTTTGAGTAAGGAGTATGAAATACAAATTTCTTGACAATAAACATAAAGGCTTGATAAACCTCAAATAGAATCTTTTCATAATTAAAATAATGACAAAAATCTATCAAATTGCTATTGTTTGGGTGGGAGTACAATTACTTCTTAGGTACAAATAGCTCTCAGTGTTTTAATGGGAGCTTGTCAAAAAAATTAACTATGGCACATGTAAATTAGAGATTTCAGATGGCACTACAAACAATGTCCTGAGATCAATTTTGATATTTATTTTCCAAATAACTTTGCTTGCCTCAGTCCTCACCTGGCATTTTTTTCTCATGAAATTCAGCAATGACATAACTGATTGAAATAAGAAAAAATAAAGCTCACAGGATTTTACCCTTTTCAGCATAGTTTTATTCATTTTCTTCATTAACCCTTAAAAATGTGACCTCCGAAAGATAACAAGACGTGGTTTCAGAGCACGCCATAGCCTCTCTCTGTCTCCCACGCTCAGTGCTAACTCTTTTGTTTGTACAATATTCTTTTATTCTGAGCAATATAACATTTTAGTTCTTGTAATAAATGCCTTCATGTGAAGCAGTTCAGCTAAGAGAATGTTATTAGACTGTGCTCCCAGGCAGTGCACCTCCACACGATCAATACAGAGCTGGGCCTCAGCTCATTCCCTCTTTGCTTAAATTCCCTGCAAATGTGCAAGAGAAGCAGCAGAGGGTGTCATCAATCACAGCCCACTGTGACATATGCTGAAACCTGACCAGGGCCGAGATGTTTTAATAAGGCATCCATTAAAACCCTCAAATAAATTGCAATTTGAAAACAGAACATAATACCAGCCAAGTTTTCCTCATCCATCTTGTGGCATGTCATGTAATGTAATTGCGTTGTTAATTTATCCAAGAACTTTCTCAGTACACTGTTTTGTTGCCACCGCTTAATTTCCCTGTAGACCGTGTGTGTGTGTGTGTGTGTGTGTGCGCGCGTGTGTGTAGATGCGCACACGGGTGCATGAGACAGAGAAAGCAGAATGAGCAACTGGAGGAGAAAAAAAATAATCCGTGTTTATTTCTGTATGTTTGTGTGTCTGTTGGTTCCTTGGAGGAAATAAGTCATGTTTCTGCTTAGCATGGCATTAACCAGAGAGCTAGTCAGAACTTTGAAATCTTTGACGTTTTGTCAATGGCCCCTGAGCATCCTGTTACTGCCTCACCAGCTCTGGCCTACAGCAGGACCACTTCCCTCCCTGCTCAACTTGCCATGGGTTTATGCCCTTCCAGAGTGGGATCACTCAAGAGTGCCTGTGGATCCCATCAATACATATTGACGAAAGTGTTTATAGGCTACTTAGGATCACCGCACAAGACACTCAGAACTGGACTGATTTTGGTTCTCTAGCTCTTGGGTTATAATTGAAAAGTTTTGACATGTGTAAGAAAAGTAAAAAAGTTATCAATCGAAAGGAGAGAATGAAAAAGTACATGTCTAGAATAATACCAAAGTGATTGCATTGTGTATTATATGTGTGTGTGTATGAATATATATGCATGTGTTTTTAAGAGCTTAAAGGAAAGATACAGGCAGGCAGGGGCTCAGATAGATTTCTTTGTCTTCTAAGCATAAATCTAAAAATAAGTAATGCAATTCTTCATGTAGGGCTACATCAGCAGATTCTTCACCTTTATTTATTCTTCTTGGTTTTCTTAATCTGTTCTGTTATTTCTGTAAGAGAAGCCAGTAGAAGGCAGAGGGAGAATCTACTTCACACATTCCATCTAGATCTAGGATGTCACAGTAACCATGTCGACCATCAAATATTAGTTTAGAAGTGTCAAATGTCTTTCCTAGGCCTACTGTTTCGAAGTGATAAGTTGCTGAACTAATGACAGAGGAGACAAGACAGTGTGACAAAAGGGGAAAAAAAATACACCATGGATCTACTTGTGTAGCTTTTGTTTTATGAATATTAGTAAAATAGTTGAGACCCAGTTTTTCTTTTTTAAATGACAACTAAATGTAAAGCATGCTAGTTAAAACATGAACAGCCACCTTCTCTCAATAAATCTTTATGTCTGAAGTTGCGTTTTAAGTTGGCTCTAAGAATGTGGTGGCATTCTAATATGCAGCCTGCACACAGAGCTCCGCCTTATGACCATGCAAAGTATTAGATGATCACGGAGTATGAAAGATGCCAGGGAAAGCCAAATTAATTTCTGCCTTCTGCTAATGGATGACCTTTGTGATTTGGATCAGGAGCTGAAATTCACTTAGTCAGAAAGGCAGGAGAGTAGGGAAAACACCTAAAATCATTTTCTCTCCCTATAGAGGAGATGCCTGCCTGCCACCTGTCCAATAAATGTCAAGTGGGTTATTTTTTTTAAATAAGCAGCCTGATTCAAAAGCAGGGAATGCTTCATTGAGACATTCAGGGCAATAGGAGTGAGACTGCTTAAAAATATAAAATAAAAAAATTAAGCATTTATATATAACATAGAAGAAAGAAAAACATTAAAAATTAAACATGAGGATGGTTAGTTCTTTCCTAGAGACTTCGTTAACACCTCAGGGTTCTATGTAGATTCTTAAGCTTTACTGAAATTTGAGCTGATTTATTATGCTTAGGAGAAATCATGTTTGGTTTCATATAGTTGAAAATATTTTGAAGTTTAGTTGAAATTTGTTTGGAATTGGGAGTGTAATACCCCAAGCAACATTCAAGGGATCAAAACCAACAGGAACTGGAATATACAAAAACACAGTTTCTTTAGCTCCACGTGAGTCGAGGTTGCCAACTTTCACATGCTTCTAATGTTAGCTCAAGCTTTCTGGCAGTCCCATTGTAAGCTCCATTTCACAGGCATCCTCTGCTATTTTGGCATTTTAATGTTGGCCTTACTGCTTTTTATTTCCTTGTCCAGGAATATAGTCATTTTAAAAACAGCATAATTATTATTGGATGTGTATATTTTTTAAGTTCCAGCTTGAGATAAATTCTTTCTTGCATTTAGCTACTACCCTTGAAGTGAACAGAAGGAATAAAACATTAAAGACACCAAGGACATGGACCTTTAATTTCTCTTGTGTATTGCAAGGGCAAGAATGAAATGTCAGTTCCCAAGGTGATTATATAGTGCATGTTGGCAAGAATGGAATAATTGTGTCCTACCCAGTGTGTGAGAAATGTATACATGGGGAGATAAAATTGTAAGGGGGCAGACAATATAGGGTAAGCACATGTACAGCACAAAAGAATTCAATTGGGTGGATGACACAGGTCTTTGGCCTTTGTGGAAATCAATGAACTGCTGTTTAGGTGTCTTTTTCAAAGCACAGGGATGTTGAAAGGATAAAGCCTTGACTCCCTGATCCATTGAGGCTTGCTCAGTTAACCTTAGGATATTTTTAAGAAAGTTGATTTGTTTCTCTTTTTGATTTCCTTTTTCTCTTGGCTTCCTTGAACTGATTTACAATTCCTGCATCTATTGCTGCCTTTAGCTATGAGCTCCATTATTCAGCTACCCTTTTTGTAATTAAATTCTGCTTAAATTGCTTATAGGCCTAACCCTCCTTAACTTCTATCTGTGACCTCTTGTTTCTAAGTTAGTTAGTGACATTGTATTGGACACACCATGAATAACCTTTCCTGGCTGCTAAAATACCCATGTCTGAATTCAATTTCAGGTTTCTTTGTACAAAATTCCCTGCAAACTTGCATACAAATTCAAAGCCTGATCCATAAAAATCTTCTAGCAATATCATTCTAATTTCAGAAACCTAGTGAGATGAAGCCATGTGTTATGTTATAAACACCCCAACAAAAGAACTGTGATCTTACCATGTTATTTTTTTTCCCCAACGTAATTTTGTAAATGTTGTTGATTCTGCTTCACCATTTGGAGACTCTTGAATGTGTTACTCTTCCAAATCCCCTGCTTTAAAATTCCCTAGAGCCCTATAAGTGCTGGATTCCTTAAAGAAATAGGTTACCTTCACCCCTACCCCCCACACTCCCCACTCCTCCAAAAACAATCCCCATACAAAAGTGCCAATAAACTAACTCAGCCGCATACAATGATATTGTGAAGAAAACCTCAGGAGAAAACCATTTAAATTTCATGGCATAAATCTGAGCTCTTGGCCAACCTTCCGTTAGCAAGTAGCAAGCACAAGTCTCATGCTAATTCTCCACCAAACCTCGAGTTTTATGAAAGCTACATTTTATCTGTTTGGTTATTTGCAGTCACTGGAGAGCTGGCAGAGGAATATCAGCACCACTCACGTTTTATGTGGAAGTCACAGGACTTGGTTGACCCCCTTTTCAGGTCCTATTGAATTTCCTATACAAAGGAAATGAAAATGTTTTATATTTAATACACCAGCACATAACAAAAGGCTTAGTTATTACACAGAGAGCTGCAATTTTCTGCCTTTGTTTCAGCTATTACTGTGGAGCTGAAATTTCCAAGCACATTTTTTATGATTTGTTTATTGCTGACTTTAGACATGACAGTGAGGGGAATGCCACCTTGATGCTACCTACCCTACAGTTAAGGGCTTTCTGTTTGTACTTATTTATCCCACAAAAGAACGGTCCAGCTTTTTATTGATGTCCCAGTTTTTCTTGCAGATGGATCAATTTTAAAAAGTTTAAAAAAAAAGTGATCTTGCAGAAACCGTGGATTGAACAGCGAGCGTATTCCTGATTTTACTCCTATGTGCTCTGAGACTGTGCAGGGGCACGAACTCCAGTTAGACTATTGGCATGGTGCTAAGCGCTTCACCTTTATTGTTCAGTTATTACAATAATGACAGTGCAATAACGGGGGGGCTTCCCTGGCGGCTCAGATGGTAAAAAATCTGCCTCCTATACAGGAGACCTGGGTTTGATCCCTAGCTTGTAAAGATCTCCTGGAGAAGGGAATGGCAACCCACTCCTGTATTCTCACCAGAATCCCCATAGAGAGTGGAGCCTGGCGGACTATAGTCCATGGGGGTCACAAAGAGTCAGACACCACGGAGTGACTAAGCACATTCTTATAATTAACTTCTTTCTGTAGATGAGGAAACTGAGGTTTAGGGAGGTTTTCTAACTTGTCTAGTATTGCCAACTAGGAATGGAACTTGATCTGTCTGATTCCAGAGCCTGTTTCTCCCTCTTTCTTTTTTTGATACTGATAGTCATTCTATTTTAAAAATTTACTTTCTTTCCTGATTCTTTAACATTTAAAATTATTTTCTTTTAAAAAGCAGTATACAACAAACACACACATCCCCCTCAGCTAGATTCATCAAGGCTGATAATCTGTTTTTTCCCTCTTCATACCACACACAGACATATATTTAAATACATACACACATATAAGTATATTCATACACACATTTATGTATTTATTCACATGGCTAAACCATCTGAAAGTAAGTTACAGTCACTATGATGCTTCAGAAAATAAAAACATTCTCCCATTTAATCACAATGCCATTCTACATCATAAAAATAAACATTTATTCAATAACATCATCTAATACTCTACATGCAAATTTTCCAGATTGCCCTCCAAATGATTTTCTTTATTATTTACTTGGCTGCATCAGGTCTTAGTTGTGGCATGCAAGATCTTTGTGGCATCATGTGGGATCTTTCATTGCAGTGCATGTCTTTGCTGGTTATGGCGCTCAAGCTTCAGAGCCCATGGGCTCAGTAGAGTGGTTTTGGTCCATGGGTTAAGTTGCCCAGTGGGATGTGAAATCTTAGTTCTCTGATCAGGGATCAAACTCACATCCCCTGCATTGTAAGGTGGATTCTTAACCACTGGACCACCAGGGAAGTCCCCCAAATGACTTTTTGACCCTATTATTTTTGACTCAGGGTTGCAACAAGGAAGAGCTTGCCCTCTTAACTACTCTGTCTACAGCCTCTCCAGAATACTGTATATGGAGTGAGATATTTACAGGTTAAAAGAATTAGGTACAAAACTTGTGCCAAAGTGCAGCCATTATATTGATCTATATATCATAGTAGGTCTATATGTTCTAAAAGTGCTTTCTACTCTGATATTCACGGATCATGAGATGTTGTGACACCAACTATCCAAAGAGTGGAATATTGGAATAGTTTGGTGATTCCCTAAGCTGTTCTACAGTTATTTATTCTCCGAATTAGTTAGAGCTGCCATGTTCACCCTGCTTCTATCTTGTCATTACTTAAATGATTCTAAATGGGCCTCAGCAAGACTGTTCATAAATAGGTAACTCCTGACACTCCAAGATTCAAAAACATCATTACTGAGGGATAAGAAGAGGGGAAAAATTGGTTAGGAACCCGGAATTGAGGGGGAATTGGGGGGGAATGTAAAGAGGGGGAAGAAAAGGTAATCAGAATCAGGTTGATTAAATTTAATTACAACAACATAGCACTAAATGGGCAAAACATTGACAGCTTAGCATGCCTGGCAGAATGAGGATTTTCAATGTAGTATTTAATTTAATCCTTAAAAGTAATGTTCCAAAATAGGTTACTATTACCCTTTCACCATTTTATGGAAGAATTATTGCATCTCACAAAGGTTAAGTGTCTTGTCCAAGGTCACCTAGATAATAAAACACAGCTGTGCTCAAACCCAAGCTGAAGAAAGAGGAGGGAGGGGGAGGTAAGGAATGGTGATATTGGCAGGGATGAGTGGGCATCTTCACTCCTACTGTGCCCTCTCCCCACGAGGTCTTAGTCATCATGTCCTGTCACTGGTCGAGAATCTCATTTTTTCTCTATGTCTTCTACCACTGCTTTAATTCAAGCCAATGCCGCCTCTTCACCAGATGCCTGCAATAACTCTTAATAGACTCCATGCCACCCGTCTTCTTCCTTTAGTCTCTAATACGCTGGTCAGACGGTTCTTTCCAGTGATCCTTCTCAACATGTCACTCCTTTGTTTGAAATTCTTTGACTGTTCATCACTTGGACTAGTGGTTGTTAACCCTGCCTGCACACGAAAATCCTAAGCTTTAGGAAATGCTGGTGGCCAGGCCCCCACCTCAGAGCTTCTGATTTTATTATTCTGAGGGAGTAGGTCTCCCAGGGGAAAAAAAAAAAATACAAGACACCCAGGTAACTGAATTTCCAGTAAATATGTACTGGACATACTTTCAGAAACATACTAAAAATTGTGTTTATCTAAAATCCTAATTTAACTGGGTATTTTACATTTTTATTTGCAAAATCTGGCTATATGTTTGCATTTGTTGTGAGGAAACTGAACATGTGTGTGTATGTGTGTGTGTGTGCTCAATTGTGTCTGACATAAGTATTTTTAAAATTTCCCTAAGTAAGTCATGTACAGAATGGAACCCACCAGGTTATAGGAAAAAAATATGAATGAAATAGTGTCTAAATGTCTTCTTATGGCATAAAAGATTCTTCAGACTTTGGCCTCTGCCTCTTTTTCAAGTTACACTGTCTGCTCCCTACTCATACCTTACCTTTACCTTCCTAAAAGGTGTATAGTTTTATCTCCATATCTTTGCACATGCTGTCACCCAAGCCCAGGATTTCCTTTCTGGGCTGTTGGATGAACTTCCAGTCATGCTTTAAGACCAAAATCTGACTTCCTTAGGTGAAGTAAATTGCATAGCCTTCCCTACTCCTTCTGTTTTGTGTGTACATCTACTGTTCTGTATATTGCTGCTACTAATAATTATATGCACTTTGTCTATTTTTTTTACTATGCATTGCATTAGTTACTTTACATTAATCTCAAACTTGCATTAATTTTATCCAAATTAACATGCATTATACTTTTGTGTACCCTAAGATAACAGTATATATTAAATACAACATATACTAGAATTGTATACTTTTTGCCAAGATTCCTTTCTTTCCCTCTTACCTACCAGCCAGATGAACAGAACAAAGCAAAACAAAGCGGCTGAGACAAACACTTGTCTCCATGGCTTCGACATTTAAAAAGCTGTTTATATTTCTCATCTCGTCAGCTACCACTTCCTAGTGGCACTAGTTTCCCTCAATAACATTTTAGTAGTAGTGTTAGTCACTCAATCATGTCCAGCTTTTTGTGACCCCATGGACTGTAGCTCACCAGGCTCCTCTGTCCATGGAATTTTCCAGGTAACAATACTGGAGTGGGTTGCCATTCCCTTCTCCAGGAGATCTTCCCAACCCAGGGATTGAACCCATGTCTCCTACACTGCAGGCAGATTCTTTACTGTCTAAGCCACCAGGAAAGCCCAAATATAATGTAAGTGCTGTGTAAATAGTTGAAGATGAGCAGCAAATTCAAGTTTTGCTTTTTGGAATTTCATGAAATTTTTTTTTCAAATATTTCCCATTCTTTGGATGAATACCATGGATATGCGGTTATTGAAGGGCCAGCTGTATTTTCTTTTCTCTAAATATCAAATTCCTAGCAAATATATAATATCATATACAATTTCAAATTATAGTACATTCACAGGTTTTTTCTGTTTGTTTGATTTTGCTTTAACCTGTCATGTAACACACTGCCATGAGTCTTTGGATGTGGCATCTAACCAAAAAAAACTACATATGGTCACTTTCTGTATGAGAGGTATAAACACATAAGGTGACAACATTTTTGTGGACTATTTTTAAAACATTATAAATAACACTGTCAACATTACTGATGATTTAAATATTATATATACATTAGAGATCATCTACATACCAATGCTTAGGTAAGGGAAACACTAGAAAATAAATAACATTTTGGGGTTGTCATATATTAGCTTATGTAAATCTTTGTTAAATCTAATTAAAATGTTACCATATTTGGTATTACATATTTTGATGTATTTACCCCACAGCTAACAATGTTGACATGTCAATAGTAAAATTCCATTAATTTGGATTCTATTATTAATAATAGATTATGATTTGGGAAAAGACTGTGTTGGGGTTACTTTTCATACTCAATGTTCATTTTACCAGATGCCTTCTAGTGGAGTTGGAAGCAGGAAGAAAGGTAGATATGTCAGTTGTTTCATAGTCCGTAGGTTAAAACCTAACATAGACCTTCAGTTGAGTAATGGGAAAAGAGCCCATTGAAGGAGGGAAGTCAGGTGGTCACAGTTGCAACAAATGTGTCATTTGTTTGCATTTCCCATTTGGAAGGCAGGTTGGAATCTTCGGAGCAAGATGATGGCCTTTCCTAGCTGAGCTCTGGGATTTAGAGAAGCTGTTGACAAAATTGGCTTTTGATAAATTTTTTGTTAACTGCTTTATGACCTCACATAAAGTGATGACCTCTCATCACTTTACATTGCAAACCCAAGTTTACAAAGTGATCCAATTTTTGATTGTATAGGCATCACATATTTCCCTTCCTTGTAGCAGGGGAATAATGTCCTGCTTCTCTGAACTTTCCTCTGTCCTGCTTCCTGTTTTCATCTGGAGGTGGATGATGGCCACTTTCTACCATGCACTCTTGGGTAGGATCAAGCTTCTCCTATTTGGTATTAAGCCTTTCTAACTTCACTTATTGGTTAAATGCCTGCCTCCTCACTAGGTGATGACTTCCTTAAAGACAGAGACTATCGTTTCTTTTCTATCCCAGTGCCAAGAGTTGTACTACCACAAACCACGTTTTCAGTATGCTAGTTTGTTCAAAAGTTGACATGTGCTGTTTGCTGGAATACAAACTGCAGCTAACAATGTTACTTGTCATTAACTTGAAATAACAGATCAACAAATGATTGCATTTTAATCATGAGAATTTGAGATAGTCAACATAAAGTACCGCATAAAATGCTTAGCAAAAAGCAAATGGACAGTGCATACTATCATTAATAGGAGTAGTCAGAATAGTAGATGTGCATGCAAAACCCTGCAGGAAAAGTAAGGACTGTACATTTACTTTGGCTAGGAAAGTCAGATTTGGGTCTTTAAGGACAAGTGGCAGTTCATCAAACTCAAAGGAAATCCCAGGCTTGGGAGTTAGCGCATGCAAAGACAAGAAAGTGTAGAGCATTTAGGAAGATAGGTATAAGGTGTGCAGCGACAGAGGAGGTAAGACGTGGAGCGACAGAGGAGGTAAGACTTCAAGTCAGCAGAAAACGAAGACATGAAAACGGCCAGAAGGTACATGAATAGATGCTGAACACCACTAATAATTAGCAAAATGCAAATCAGAAGGAGATATCACCTCATACTTGTTAGAGTGTCAGCAAGACCAGAGATAACAAGCATTGGCAAAGAAGTAGAGAAAAGAAACACCTATACACTGTTGGTGGGAATGTAAATTGGTATAACTACTATGGAAAACAGCATGGAGGTTCCTAAAAAGAATTTTAAAAAGAACTACCATATATGATCCAACAATTCTACTTCTGGATATATATCCAGAGGAAATGAAAACATGATCTCAGAGATATTTGCACTCCATGTTCATTGCAGCACTATTCACAATAGACAAGACATAGAAACAACCTGTGTTCACTGATGGATGAATGGATAAAGAAAATGTAGTGTGTATGTATAATAAAATACTATTTGGTCACAAGAAAGGAAAATCCTGCCGTTAGCAACACTGATCGACCTTGAAGGCATTATGCTAAATGATATGTCAAAGAAAGACAAATGTTGTAAAATATCACTTGTATGTGAATCTGAAAAAGGCAAACTCATAGAAAGCTAGTAACATGGGGTAGTGAGGTGGCAGAAATAGAGATATCAGTCAAAGGATGCCAGTTATAAGATCAGTAAGTTCTAGGGAATCTAATGTACAGCATGGTGATTTTAGTCAGAAATACTGTATTATTATATACTTGGAAATTGCTATGGGAATAGACATAAAGGAAATGGTAATTATGGGATCTGCTGGAGATGTTAGCTAATGCTACAATGGTAATTATTTTGTAATGTATAAGTGCATCAAATCTATACATTATATACATTAAACTTAACAGTGTTATGTGTCAGTTATATCTCAATGTAGCTGGAAGAAAAAAGGATTCAGGGTCCAAACTCTGAAGGACCTTTTATGCCATAATAGAAAGTTTAAATACTACTTCATTTGTAATTTTTTTCTATTAGCCAGTGGATTTAAACTTGCATGCCCACTCAACTTACTTGTGTGTGTTCATTCACTGTATGATTAAACACTGATCTCTTTCTAGACCCACAGTGTTTATTTTCACATGACCCATCTGCCTAATACTCTGATGTTTTAAAAAAATCTATTAAAATAATATCATTTCCATTTGCACAGCACTTCATGCCTTCCAGACAGATAGTTTCCAAGGAAAAAATAACTTATTTTGATCCTCACAACTTTGCAAAATTGATAGGAAAGGTTTTCCAATTAAAAATTTTAATTATTTTCTGATTCAATATAACATGCAAGAGTACTAATAATGACCATCTCCTGCCTTATTGTCCTTTCTTGTCTATTTTTTGTTTTTTTTCCTAACTTCATTGAGATATAATTGACATATATAAATTTGAGCATCTGTTTTTTACAGTTTTATTGACATATAATTGACATGCAGTACTATGTAATTTACTATATATAGCATAATGCTTTTATTTATATACATAATGAAATGATTGCCACCATAAATTTAGTAAACTCTTAATATCTACTGAACATAGAACTTTAATGCAAACAACACACAGACTATTTTATTTTCTTAGTAGTTGGTCTGAGAATTCTTTGAAGGGGAAAGTCCACATTTATTAGGGCCCTCCCAAGATGAGCCCCTTAAAATGAGCCTAAGACTTTTAAAGAGCATGCTAAAAACACAGAAAAAATGGCTTCTAATTTATTTACAAAGATCAACAGGTTCTGATAAGTATCAGGTCTTTACTTTAAATAAATAAAAGTATGTCATTTGGGGATATAATTTTTATCTAGATAAATTTCTATGTATAATATAGGGGAGAAGTATTTGAGGTGAAGATTATTATGTCAGGCAAGGAAGAAGCAAAAGCCAAATTGACTAGATGACATGGGAAAAAGAGACTGCCCCATCTTATTCAGAAAGGAGATAAGAACAAGAGGTTGTGAATGGGATTAGAATCCTCTCTTGCACCTCCCTTAGTCACATTCACTTTTATATGTTGCTTGCTCATAAATAATTATGTGTGGAAGCTAAAAATAAGAATGCAAGGACACTTGGTATTTGGGTAACATGGTCTAAAAGATTAAGACAATTTACTTACAATATATAAAGACCACAGATTTTGAAACCAGGAAAACATACCACCTGTATGACCAAGGAGACCTGATTCCTAAATCGGAATAAAGATACTTAAACAGGGGATCATCTCAAGGTTTAAAGAAGTGATAAAATATGTATGGAAGGTATTGGAAGCTAGCCTGAGATTGGTACCTTATAGCATGCAATAAATCACAGCTACAATTACTGATGCAAATAGACTCATCTAAATTGATAGGCAATAGAAACTCACATACTGATGTCAAGAGTCCCCTGGAGCTGGAAGCCAGAGCACATAGTAGTCCTGGGTAGGATGAAACAGTCTAGATTTAGTGAACCATTTTTATGTCATTATCGCCCTTTACCTCCATCAATCTTTATGTGTTCTCCACTCTTACATTTTTTTAGACAAGGATTAAAATCTCATTTACACTGAGGTTTTAAGATACAAGAGGCTTACAGGGTTCAATGATATCTTTCTAGGGGTTGAAAGAGCATTTTATGGGTGATGAAAGTAAAATGAATCTTTGATAATGGAATTTCAGGCATCAAAAGCTGAGGCAGAGGGATTGAGAGAGAAACAGTTCAAGCTCTTGAATTCATACTAAGCTGATAGTCCACTTGTGTATGAGGTCTTCACAGTGTCTTTACTAAGATTGCTTTCAGAGGGTCTTGGAGTTCTATCTGTTGTTGTTCCTCAACCTCTGTCGTGTCTGACTCTTTGTGACCCCATGGATTGTGGCACACTAGGCTTCCCTGTCCTTCACCATCTCCCAGGGTTTACTCAAACTCATGTCTACTGAGTCAGGATGCCATCCAACCATCTTGTCCTCTGTCGTTCCTTTCTCCTCTTGCCTTCAGTTTTTCCCAGCATCAGGGTCTTTTCCAATGAATTGGCTCTTCATATCAGGTGGCCAAAGTATTGGAGCTTCAGCATCAGGCCTTCCAATGAACATTTAGGACTGATTTCCTTTAGGATTTCCTGGTTGGATCTCCTTGCTGTCCAAGGGAATCTCAAGAGTCTTCTCCCACACCACAGTTCAAAAGCATCAATTTTTTGCCATTGAGCTTCTTTATGGTCCAACTCTCACATCCTTACATGACTATTGGAAAAACCATAGCTTTGACTATATGGACTTTTGTTGGCAAAGTAATGTCTCTGCTTTTTAATATGCTTTCTAGGTTGGTCAAAGCTTTTCTTCCAAGGAGCAGTCATCTTTTAATTTCATGGCTGCAATCCATAGTTAGAGAGTCCTATAACCTAACAATATTCATGCAAGATACATGTACTTGGGAGGCATGCTTTTCCAAAATTACATGGTAGAAATAGTTTTAAGGAAGTCAATTTCCTCGTCTTCAGCATCCACATGAACTTTTGTCTGATACTGGGTCTGTGGCTGAGGCATCACCCTGGTTCTTTCCTCATATCTCCTCTTTGACAATTGTCCTCTTACTTCATAAAAGAAAGTCATACCACTCACCAGTTTGGCCCCATGTGTAAAATGGTCCAGCATGCCAATAAGGAATATTTTTTTTTTAATTTTAATCTTGTTTTTTAATTGAAGGATAATTGCTTTACAGAATTTTGTTAGTTTCTGCCAAACATCAGCATGAATCAGCTGTAAGGGAGGGATAATTTTTAATATTGTTTGTGAAACTTCCTGTAACCAAAGTGAAAGTCACTCAGTCATGTCCAACTCTTTGTGACCCCATAGTCCATGGAATTCCCCAGGCCAGAATACTGGAGTGGATAGCCTTTCCCTCTCCAGGGGGTCTTCCCTACCCAGGGATCAAACCCAGGCCTCCCACATTGCAGGAGGATTCTTTACCAGTTGAGCCACAAGGGAAGCCCAAGAATACTGGAGTGGGGGTAGCCTATCCCTTCTCCAGCGGATCTTCCTGACAAAGAGCTTTGTAAAAACAAACAGTGACATTAGAAAGGGGTGGCGTCACACAAGATTAACTGTTCCTTTTTAAAATTGAAATGTAGATGATTTTTGCCACCAATACTTTGGCCACCTGATACAAACAGCTGACTTATTGAAAAAGCATCAAAAAACCTTGATGCTGGGAAAAATTGGAGAAAAGGGAACCAGAGGATGAGATGGTTGGATGGCATTGCTGACTCAATGATGTGAACTTGGTCAAAACTCCAGGAAATGGTAAGGGGCAGGGAGGCCTGGTGTGCTGCAGTCCATGGGGTGACAAAGAGTAGGACATGAACTAGCAACTGAACAGCAACAATAATAGTTGATTTACAGTGTGTGTTAGTGTCAGGTGTATAGCATAGTAAATCAGTTATATATATATTGTGCTATACAGTAGGTCTTTGTTGATTATCTATTTTATATATAATACTGTGTACGTGCTCAGTTGCTTAGCCATGTCCAACTCTTTGCAACCCTTTGGACTATAGCCCACAAGGCTCCTCTGTCCATGGATTTTTCAGACAAGAATACTGGAGTGGGTTGTCATTTCCTCCCCCAGGAAATCTTCCCAACCCAGAGATTAAACTCCTGTCTCTTGCATTGCAGGCAGATTCTTAATATCTGTGAGCCATCAGGGAATCCTAATAGTGTGTATATGTTAATCCTAAATGCCTAATTTATCCCTCCTTTTCCCCTTTGGTAACCATAGTTTTCTCTTCTATGTCCATGGATCTATTTATATTTTGTAAATAAGTTTATTTTTATCTTTTTTTTCAGTTTCTACATATAAGTGATATAATATTTGCCTTTCTCTGAGATAGCATATTCTAAGTATATTTGTAAAATAGGTAGCAGAGGTTATATCTTCTTCCAAGAATCTTGTCTTTTTCCCCTGAGAACTATTGTCAAAGAATGAGTGAAAATCATCAGAGAGACCCTTGGGAGCAAAGCAGAGAGAAACTATGAGAAATAGGAAGGGATATGAGGTAATAGATTTATAGCAAATCTTCATGCCTGATCTGTCTTTAAAACTACTTACTTACCTACTTAATGTATCTTAGAGCTAGGATTCAGGAGTGAGATTTTCTAACAAGGCAACATAATAACATCAGACTTTTTTCTATTAAAAGTAAATTTAATTTGATTGATTGGTTAGACAGAACTGTCTTTGCCAAGTAGGGTATATGGCAAACATTTCCAAAAAATGGTTTGAACTAAATCTTCAGCTCTAAGTTTTGACAAAAATATATTGAAAGCATTGATAACAACATTTTATTTAAAAATATATTGGCAAAGATGCACTGAAATTAACTATATTATAATTTCCCAGCCTTCTTTTGAGTGTATTAGAACTCACACAAAGTGCTTCAAAGTAAACAAATGGCAGGAATAATTAATAGTTATTTGATAGGTATTGATAAAAACCTTCTTGGTTTACTTCCCAGAAACTGGGGCAATGAATAACTCTAATGACTGGGTGACAAAGCCTTTTGCAAAACAGGATGTTTATAAATCTTTGTTTTCAGTAAATGTGAAGGAGCACCTAGTCAAATTGTTAGCTGATAGAGCACTAGAAATATTTTTTGATGATAGATCACTATATATTTTGGCATATAACTCAGAGGAATACCAAAAACTTGAGTGACAATGCTATAACAAAATTCTTTCCATCTACATATACCTATTTGTGTGCACAAGGTTTTGCAGTGTTTATGTCTATAAATGAGGAAAGGAACAGAATTAATGTTCAACTCTGTTTCCTTCTGGAAGTAATATTTATCCATAAACACATGAATCAATTAAAAATGAAACCAGCCCCATCCATCTCATTATGAAAATCATTTCCAATGAAATTTATTATACATAATTATTATTTATCCAGATTTATGTCTTATTTCTACTCTCTTCATCCTTTGTTTACCAGTACCAATAATATTTGCTATAATAACTAAATTAGAAATATATTTTTGTAGAGTCTTACACGAAAGGGAAATAAATAAGGTTTTAATTTACACACATTTTTTATTACAGAAAAGTAACAGAGCAATCAATAAAAGATCTTCACAATTAAAGATGTATGTACTGAGAAAAAATATATTTGGAAAATTAGAATAAATGTATAATTTTAGGAGAGAGAGGAAGGCTATAAAATGCTCAATTTTTAAAAGCAATCTCATTTATTTTTTTAAGTAGATTATGATAGACTAAAATTCCAGAAGTATTTAGGGATTTTTTAATATGTCACTATTCACAGAAAACCAAAAATTTTATACTTTCTGACTTTAACTTATTATGAAAAATTTTAGATAACAACTTTAAAGAGATTTTCATAATTATTTCAGGAATCAAGATAGCGAAAAAAGAAAGAAAAGATATCACCTTAAAGGGGAAGAGACAGTTGTGAAATAGAGCCATCTCCTTTTGCCTGTTAAATGAGGTTCTCTATCTACAGATATGCTTGTAAAAAGCATTTCAAATGTCCCTTCTGCTATGAGAATGTGCAGTAAAAATGCACCTGGGTAGCCATATACCAGCACATTTGTAAAGGTACCAAAGAGGGATGAAAAAAAAAATTCTGAGGTCGTTATTTCACATTCAGATACAAATATTGGTAACATAGAAGCTTAGACCCCAAGTGTTCATTGTTTAGAAACATAAACATATGAAGACACTTCCCTACCCAGTTCCTTTATCATTCTTTTCAAGTTAATCCAGTGAACATGATTGATATAAAGTTAATGGGGACTTGGCCACAATCCAAATATACACTAACCAAGGGGAACCTGGGACATGACACGATGCTGATTCCACAGAAAATCCCTTTGCTCCTATGAAGAATAGTTGATTTGGGGGCAGAGCAGCTAAATTTTATCCAATGTACTGGAAATGGCATTTTTAAGAATACAGATGCAACTAGAAGTGATCATCTATAAAGATTTTAAAGACTGCATCAAGGTACACAGCCTTGACTAAAGACAGATGAATGAACTAAATGATCATAATAATTAGCATTCTTAAAAATAATAATAGGGTGGGGTAAAGAAGGATTGAGAGTTTGAGATTAGTAGATGCACACTACTATATACAGGCTGGATAAGCATCAAGATCCAGTGTATAGAACAGGGAACTATATTCAATATTCTGTAATAAACCATACTTGAAAAGAATTTGAAATAATATATATGCATAACTGAGTCACTTTGTACAGCAGAAATTAATGCAACATTGTAAATAAACTAAACCTCGATAAAATTTTAAAAAATAAATAATAGCCAACTATTTAAGGTCTTACACTGTGCTTGTCCTCAGTGCTTATCAATGCTGTTTTGAAGACATTACCCACATTACCTGACATAATTCTCATAATAAATCTAAG